GACTAGCTGGTGAACAAGGGAGCATTTGAAGCTACAGTAAAGATGATATTCACCCTCATGAGTGGTAGATGACCACAGACAAGAGAGGTGACATATTAGACTTGTATTACAGCAGTGTAGAAACAGAGCAGAAGTTGTCATATTTTAAATTTAGTTCTTAACAGACTAACAGGTATATGCAAACCACCTTCATTATCTTGAGTGTGTTTTTTCTCCTCAGTTGGCCGGACCATTCCTCAGATAGGACGTGACCCCGTACAGTTTAACAGACGGGATATTCAGCCTGAGAGAAGGCTGTTTCTTTACTGTGTCAAGCCCAGTCCAACCCACCAGTCAGTACGCTGGTCTACAATAACTCCCAGGTCTACACCGGCGCATTCACCATCACCAAGATATACGCATGCACACTGCGGACTATGCCTGCTTGGCACAGAACACCTACCCAACACCCGCTCCAAAAAAAACATCAGCCTGACTGTCTACTGTGAGTGTGCCTGACCTTGTTCATGCCAGGTTTGTAAGGCTGACTGGCACATTCGATATGTGTTACATCTCTACCACAGAGGAAAGGCGAAGATATCTAACAAAAGTTATTCTTATCTGTAAGGGATATTAGCGCCAGCTTTCATAATATTGAGCCTTAGGAGGCACGTTCTCTGTGCCCTGTAACCTCATAGAAACCCACTTTGCACACACATCGCGTACGCTGTTTATCTTATCCACAGACCCTCCCTGATGGTCCCCCACCTGTTCTGTTGGAGCCGGCTCTGAATCACACCTCTCTGAGACATGCTCTGCTCCTGGCAGGGTGGATTCCCCCCCACCTCTACTGGACGGAGACCTGAGACAGAAGGACGCGATGGGGTGACACAGGGGAGCAAACAAATCCAACGACAACACTGCATCTTGCTAGTCAAACCGAAAAGGTTCTGACAACAACACCTTGTTTTACATGCGTGAAGCACACCCTGGCGCTCCAAACAACGACACAGTGCAGCACACGCACGTCGGTAAGAACAAGAAGAACAAAAATAAATGGTATGTCACCCTAACCCAAACTTAATCTTACTTAACCTCTTCTCCTACACCAGATATCCCCCTGCAGACGCAGTGTGTTTCGCCTATGTGACTATACAACAACAGTGACCGATGCTGTCCTGCCCTTGGGAAGGAGGGGGCCCCGAAACGTTGGTGGTGGTGGGAGGCCGGGGCCAGGTCGAAAGGCGGGGAAGATAGCTCCAAACAGCCTGATCCTAGGCCTTACTGGCACCGCCCACAGCGGGAATACCCTACACCCTGCATTCGTAAGCACCCCCTTTGGTCCAAACCAAGACCTGCTGCGAGCACTGGGTCAGGCACATGTCAGACACCCTACAACAATAACAGATGATTTTAATTAATTTGTGTTCATTAACATTGTGTGACCCACAATGGTCACTCTACTGGGGAACTTCTTATGAGTAGTCTCCAACACACAGCCAAATAAGCAATCTGGACATCGATCGTGAGAGGAAAAATCACCAAGATAACAACTTACAATTCTTCTTAATTTTGTTTTGTGACAAGTGTTATGTATAGGAAGTTCAAACCGGGAAACATGTGTAATATAGTAATGCTTCAAAAACAGCTGGAAGAAAAAAATATGTGAAGCAACTCAGCATTTAGGATTAATCAGTAGCTTGGCTTGCATTAAAGACTAGAAAACAAATGAGAGAAGAGTTAGCCTGGCTCTGTTCAAAAGAGACAAATAAAAGCCCAAAGGATATTTAACATTATAATATAACATTTGTAGTGTCGGCTATTTGTATATTACAACTATAACTTTGTCAAACAAACGTTAAAATTGAGTGAGCATTTTTATCTACAGACGCCACAGGTCGCCTCCATGGATGCCACCATGTTTAACCACCATGTTTCAACAGTAGGCAGAAAGCGACAAACCCAACCTGGCCCTCTAGATCGGGGTGCACATTTTTCACGTTTCAGACACTAGTTCTTCTTCTACTTGAAAGGGGAAGGGAAGCGAGGGAGTTGCAATCTGCAACTAACCACGCTAGATGCAAAATCAACACCACTGGCCTTTGAAGCTTCTACACAGAGGTATAATATTTCTTCCCTATTTCTTATCTGCTTTAGAGACAGCAAACATACCCTCATTGTGACTTTATCTTGAATACAGTTCCCGTCAGTAAACCGACCTCCTGATGAGTGATGCATCTCCAGTGAAGCTCGATGTGGATGCGTGCAATGTGGAAAATGGGACTGCCAATCAGTATTTGTGAACAATGAACCCGAAGTGGCAACACCACAACCTTTGCACAGGCAACACCAGCGTATCAACGTGACTGAGGTCACCGCAACTCACGCTGGTACCGCTGTGTGGCGCAATGCCGCTACACGCGAGGCTCTAACCGACTTGGCTGGATACCATCTGTGAGTATTTTTTTTTTTTGGGGGATGGGGGGGGTTCAAACTTAACAATATTTTTAACCAGGTAAAACTTTCTTTAAGACACATCAAGTTTTGAAAGGCTAAAAAGCCTCCTCAAAAAGCAGGAGTCAGATGAGCAACATGACTTTTATGCTTTGATGTCTTTCCCTTTATTTTCTTTGGCATTTGAGAGTGACTATCAATAAATTGTGAGCACATGACTCTACAGCATTTGTCACCATGAAATGTCACCATGTATAAGTCTTGAATGATGACTGTTTGATAAATATTACTCACACTGTTTCATGTTTTACTCATAGGTCAGCTTATGTGGCTAATACGTAAAATGTATTTAAATTTTTCTCTCTGTTTCTTGGCATTAAAAAATAAATATAAAACATGTTTCTGCTTCAGCTTGAATTTTTAAAAACCTGCTTGTATTGTACAGTTAATACTTGAATTTGAAACATTTGAACTTGAAATTTGAGGACACTGAACTTGTGACCATTTATATTATCAATTAAAAACTTACTTACGGTGGATATTTTGTAGGCTGATCCACCATTTTTAGACTATGTATATTTAAAAGTTGACTGCTTATAATCCAAAAAAAACCAAATAAATCAATAGTGTGCCACTGTACAACTACTACTCAGCACATTAGACAGACTAGCTGGGAACATAGTGGAGCATTTGAAGCTACAGTAAAAGAGATATTTCCCATGATGGTTGGTAGAGACCAAAGACAAGAGAGTGAATATTAGACCAGAATACCAGAGCAGAAGGTCTCTCATTTTTAAAATTTTAGTTCTTAACAGACTAACGATGATATGCAATCATCCTTCTATATTCTTGAGTGTGGGTTCGTGTTTTCTCCTCAGTTGGGCCGGACATTCCTCGAGATAGATCTGACCCCTCCGTACAGTATAACAGAGCGGGATATTCCAGCCCTTGGAGAGAGAGACTGGTTCTTTATGTGTCAAGCCCAGCAATCCCAGCCAGTCGTACGTCTTGGTCTACAAATATACTCCCAGGGTCTCACCGGCCCCAGTCACCATCACCAGATACTTCCGCATCGCACACTGGCGACTATGCCTTGACTTGGCACAGAAGCACTACCTCAACACCCGCTCCAAAGAAACCATCAGCCTGACTGTCTATTCTGTGAAGTGTGACCTCTGACCTTGGTTCTAATGCCAGGTCTTATGTAGGACTGACTTGACATTCATATGTGTTACGTATCTCTACCAAGAAAAGGCAAGATATCTTACAACATTAAGTATTATTTCTTATTCTGTAATGACTGATTCATGCCTAGCATTTCCAACCTATTGTAGCCTTAGGTGGCACTATTCCTCTGGCCCTGATAACCTCATGTAAACCCCACTTTGCACATCACTGTCTCGTTACGCTGTCTTATCTTATCCCCACAGACCCTCCTGATGGTTCCCCCACCTGTTCTGTGGAGCCGGCTCTGAATCACACCTCTCTGAGACTGCTCTGCTCCTGGCCAGGTGGATTCCCCTCCCCCTCCCTCTACTGGACCGGAGACCTGAGACAAGAAGGACGCGATGGGGCTGACACAGGGGAGCAAACAAATCCACTGACCAACACTGCCATCTTGCTGTCAACCGAAGGCCTGACATCCAACAACACCTTGTTTACATGCGTGGGCACACACCTGGCGCTCAAACAATCGACACAGTGCAGCACACGCACGTGTAAGAAACAGAAAGAACAAAATAAATGTTGTATGTCACTCCTAACCCAAACTTAATCTTACTTAAACCTCTTCTCCTACACCAGATATCCCCCCTGCAGAGCCAGTGTGTTTCGCCTATGTGACTAACAACAAACAGTACCTGATGCTGTCCTGCTCCTGGGATGGAGGGGCCCCGAAAGCTTTGGTGTGGTGGGAGGGCCCGGGTGGCCAGGGCAAAGGCGGGGAAGAGAGCTCCAACATCCTGATCCTACGCTATGGCACCGCCCGCAGCGGGAAACCCTACACCTGCCATGCTAAGCACCCCCTTTTGGTCCAAACCAAGACCTGCATGCTGACACTGGGTCAGTGCACATTGTCAGACACACCTTACAACAAATAACAGATGATTTGTTAATTAATTTTTACATTCACCTGCAGAGGCTCCTGTATTGCTGACACAGCGTAGGGTTGTGTCTGTATACGAGGGGAGTGATGTCGAGCTCAGCTGCAACCTGAGAGCCAACTACCTTCCCGTCAATGATATCATCTGGTTTAACAATCAGGGTGTGGACGTTCAAGGCACCTCGAAGTACACACTGCAGCGAACATCTGCATGGGCCAATCTGACTGTGAAAGACACGCATGAGATCCAAGACAGCGGCGAGTACCGCTGCTCCACTTCCAACGCAGTGGGAGGAACTGAAATCAATGTCACTTTAGTAGTCAAGAGTAAGAAATTGTTTGAAGTTTTTCAATAGTTCAACATTTTGGAAAATACTCTTAATCACTTACTTGCTGAGAGAAGCAGCTTTGTGAAGCTGAAATTAGAGCTTTGGGCTTTTGCCAAAATTAGTTCAACAGCGATAAAACTAGATGCCAGTAAATCCTCTGATTTTGCAGTATACCAGAGTTTTAATTTGGGGTCGTAGAACATCCTACACTGAGCACTGTAGAGATCGTATATGTCAACCCAGCTCTAATTGGTCCAGAAAATGTAGAGATATGTAAGCGAATCAACAGTGTTGCGTATTAGGAAACGGAAGACAAAGTCTCACGCAGTTAACATGCTAAAATTGGCACTAAACTCAACATACAATGGAGGCTGGATGTCATTAGCTTTGCAGATATTTAATGAAAAAACAAAGTATTGGACAAATAAATGCTTTGATCTGATGGTGGCACAAGACTATAATTAAGGGAATCACCAAAGTCAGAATGACAGAAATGAACATGTGAATCAAATTTTCATGGCAATCAATCCAATACTACAGATTTCAGACTTTGATTTCACTAAAAACCAAAAAAGTGAACCTCATGGTGGCACCAGAGGAGAGTCAATGGATAATCAAAGTTAGTTCATCCTCTTTGGACCACGTCAGTACAAACTTTTATGGTAATCCATCCAGTAGATAAATCTGGACCAGAGTGGACCAATCAACAAACTGAAGTGCATATTTTAATTTTTATTGTGTTTTGTCTCTTTAGGGCACCCCATGCCACCCAATGCGACCCTGGTCAAAGTGGTGTACATCAGCCGACAACGTATCGAGGTGGAGCTGGAGTGGCAGGTAGAGAACGAAGAAGAAAGAGGTTGGACAGGTTTCATCCTGGAGCACGTATGGGTGTCAGAGCGACCAGGAAGGAGAGGCAGCAGCAATGATTCAAAGGAGGACACGGAGGGGAGGATCGGTCCACTTGTCTGGTACCGTAACATCATCGAGGACCCAGAAGTCAGGAGTCATACAGTAAGCAGGCTGACACCAACCGCCACCTACCAGTTTCGCATTATACCTGTCAACCACCGCACCCTCGGACATCCTTCAGCAGCAAAGACTCCAGGTATAGTAAGTGAACAGAGTGAGGAAAGTGTGGTCAGATACAGGACTTTTGGCAGAAAACTGAACAAAGATAGGAGCTTGAGTAAGGGAGTTAGGGTGCATTTTATCACTAAAAACAAGTCATAAATTGTGAAATTGTAAAAAGGCGAAAGCCACGTGAGTTAGGTCATTATTACAAACATTGTTGATGCTGGTGTCTTGCTGTGATTGCTGTTTCAATGACCATCTAACATTTTTTGTTTTTCTCTTTTGTTATCCACTTAGGTGAAAGACACACACAAACAAAAAACACACGCACACAATTACACAAACCTTCCACTCACTTCCTCTTTACCTCCTTCACTGCCCTACTCCTAACCTTTCCTCTCACTGGCCCTGTGTGCTTCTTGTAAAATTCTTTGAACTGTACCATGTAAAAGTAGTATTTGACCGCTCTAACTGCATCAGATGATCTGTTTAGGTGTAGAAAGGATTGTAGGTCAAGCTGGTCAGGGTAGGATAGGCAAGGTTTTCAACCCCTGTACTAATCCACACCAGTGCTTAGTTCAACTTATTTTGTAACTTTTGCTGAAAAGTGGCCACGTTGGATAACACTGAATGCTAAAACCAATTTTAGCAGTACCACAAATAAAGAAAAGTCATAAATCAAACAGCAATATCTATTAAGATAAGCCACTAAGAACTAAACCTTTTATTAAAGAGGAAGCATGTTTTAATTCCTCTTTCAAAAGTTACACATTCTTATTTTACTGTAATTATTTTATCATCTGAAAAAAACGCTCAAAATTCTTGTATTCTGGCTTTTTCACAGTGAAGCTAACTTTAACTGAACAATAATGATGGGTTAATTTTACGGAACAAAAACAATGCTGACATGGGTTGAGAACCACTAGAGGGAGCTGAAACATGATGAAAAACAATATTAGATATGTATTAAATGCAGCAGCTGTTTTGTCAGAGGTGTACTGTTTTGCAATGTGTAACTGTGATGTGTTGCAGCGGAACCAAGCTACAACATGTACCCCGCTGTGATTGGATCAGCTATAGGTGGGATGCTCTTTGCAGCCATCCTCACGGCACTGCTGCTCGTGTTCATAATCCGCAACCGCAACAACAATCCTCGTAAGTCCCATACACACAAGCTCCTAATGACTTGAATAATAAAAGCCATTGTCCCATTATGTTGCATTAATGTTTTGTGTCTTTTCCCACAGGGCTACATGACCTGCTGTTTGGTTTGTGAGTATCTGTATTAATGTCTACCACAATGAAGAATCTGTTGTTTGTAATGATTTTGACGGCCAACTCTGGGTAAACACATGCCATTAAAACCGTTTCTTCTTCTGTGTCCAGGCACCACAGCCAGTCGAGGGAAAACATCAACTTCCCAGAGGATGAAGTGGTAGGCGGGTCAGAGGGAGGAATAGAGGAGATCGGTGGATCGGCTGGTCCAGGCAAGATGAACCCACATCAAACATATTAATGCAAACATAAAGCTGGACAATACATGTCAGAGTTAACATGTCTCATTTTGTAAAACATAACACATGGCGACCTCTGTAACAAAATATTTTAGGGGAGACATGACTACAGATACAGTTTTCACTATAGGGTTAGGCCCATCCCTCCTGTTAAACATGAACAAATCACCAATTGTTCTTATCTAACTTACAAATGTGAACATACATGTTGTCCTGCACCATAGCTTGTTGAACAAGCATCTAAACAAGCATTCACCTGGGAAAAGTGCCCTAGTAAGCAGGTTTGCATGCTAGATAGTTAATTAGTCAGCTGCAGCACATTGAACAGTGTGGAAACCTGCAAATATCAGCTCGGTAGTTAGATACTGGTGTGGTGTTCAGTCTTCAATACCAATGTTGTCTTGGGGATTTTGAGACATACAAATAGGTGATGCCTACTAACGAATCTAAGTGTTACTGTACACCAACCCAGGTGTTCCCTATTCTGATTGATTATACTCAGATTGATGTTGCAGCCACTGTAGCACTTGGAAGGTGAGGGTGAAACAAGGGAGTTTCGATCTGCGACTACACCCCTAGATATAAACTTTTGAAATCAACAATTTTGCATGTTAAATGGATAGTTCAGGTTTTTTGAGTGGGTTTGTATGAGGTGTTTATCCATAGTCAGTGTAATACCTGCAGTAGACGGAGCTATAGGTGGGATGTAACAGCGTGCCCCTAATTTTTAGAAGCGGACAGGAGTCCTGGCAGGGAAGCAGAGGAATGCACTGCTGGATACAGAGTCAGAGAAAAACAACTTTAATCAATATGGCTTTGAGTGTCCATTATATTAGGAACATTTTTACAGCCTTACCTTGCCGTCAGACAGCCCTTTCCTTTGGAGCTACATTGTCTCAACCTATAACGGCGCTTTACACCAGAGATTGGCTGTTTGGACCGATGTTCGAGGAGGCAAGAGGATACATTTATGAACCAGAATGTTCTGAGAACATTCAGTGCCAAATGAAAAGGCTGTCTGACAGCAAGATAAAGTGGTGAAAATGTTATTAATATTCCTAGATTATTAATAGATTTTTAATGTGGCTAAAATATGTTTTTGTGCTGACCCTGTAGTCAGCAGTGCATAATTGCTGTGCTTCCTTGCCAGTACTCCTGTCTGTCCAGCAGTCAGTTTATGCTCACACAGTCCTGAGAAGCTCTCTTCAACAAAATAAATATTACCTCAGGGAGTGTACCTTTGTTGTATGTGGACTTTAATATAGAATCTTACGTTGAAATCCATCTGTTGTAATTTACACCCAAAGTCATATCAATCAGTCACCTAAAAATATTATGGCTCGTCTACCTGATGCTGAACCTTGGCGCTGGTCTTTTGCAGGTGCAACCATGGCTTTACCCCGGGCATCTTCTCCCCTCACCACCTCACCCCTGAGTGCCACCCCGACCACCAGCCAAGCCCCTCCCCCTGGAGATGATAATGAGCCTGTCAGTGTCACCATCACCGTCAAGGCAACAGGCTCATAGTCATATAGCACAGACTCCTTCAGTTGTGCTTTAACCTGGAATTAATGTTCTAGATAGTTTGCACACTCATTACAGTAACCATGTGACTTAGATGTCAGCTCAACTACAATAACAGTTACAAACTCTTCTCATATGTTTCACTATAAAACTTTTATTATACAGTCATTTGAAGCATGGACATGGATTTCTACATTAAACTTATGTATACTGCTCAGCCAACAGGAGTGTTGTTTTTGTTGTTTGTTTTTTTACAAATTATTCTTTCTTTATACAAGTGTGAAGCAATGATGACAGATCAGTTTAATAAAGGGTTTATTTTGCAGGATGATGAATGAGACTTTATGAAATATTAATGGGATATAAACCACATTTGATTAATGTGAGGAAACAAATAGCTTAAAATATGTATTGTTCCTGCTTCACATGAGGGGAATTCATTCTGTAGGGATTTTTTGGGTTGTTAGATTGTGTGATTAAACTAAAATGAAATGAGGCTTGGCGTTAAGTGGCCTGTTACAGCGTGGATCATGTTGTATAAAGGGATAGTATAAAGCCTAGTGATTTACATGTAGGTATTGAACACGCCTGCTTTTTGTTACATCTCACAGCCTTGATAAATACTCTATCTTCTGCATTAGGCCTCTATGGGTAATCTGGAAGCAACAGGAGTGAATAATATTTTAAGATATATTGTAAGCCATTGTTTTAAGGCTTATTTTGTTGATTATAAGAAAGTAGAAATAAGTCGGTAACTGGTGTAAAATAAAATAATGCAATGGGCACACATATACTTTATGCCATTTGTTATCCCAGCAGGGATTAATGAAGGAAGATAAAGTCAGTCAGATGACTGTAAAGGTCAAAGAGAACTACGTTTAACTATAGTCTGGTATGACCATGATGTTTAATAAATCATTGAACCAATGTGTCAATAAGCAAAGATCAACAAGCAGGTTTTGGAAGATGATGATAAATGTTTGTACTTTGTCCTTCAGGAAAAATTTCAAAGTATGGGAGAGGATAAGTTTGATATTTAAAAAATACACTAGTTACAGTAATATACTAAGTCATGATATAGCTCATTATAGTCCTCGCTTTATTTCAATGATTACACGAAGGTGTGAATCTCATGTTAAAAAAAGGAACATGTAACACAAACTATTGATCATCTTATTTGCATTAAATAATAAGTTACCAGAGGTTTAATTTATCCCTCCCACTTTTGAGCGTCACTGTACATTGAAAAAAAAATACTGTCCGCAAAATTCTCATTGTTTATATTGTTTTAATTAACATGGATTTGCTGCCACTGAGTCGGCTGCCACTTTTAGCTCCTCTGTATGGGTGGAGCATTTACGTTTTATAATTTTGAATTAAAATACTTACAGTATAATATTTTCCAGAATGTGATAATTTACCATATAATCATTATCACAAATTAGACATGTGCACGTATAATAAATAATAATTAAATAATTTATAATTAATTAAAAAAACCTAAAATAGCTAGGATTGAAAGCATATGCAATTACAAATTTAGTACTGCGCTGAAAAACGTTAGTAAAAAAAAGTTATTACGCCTGATAATGAGAAATATTGTTTTCCAAGATAGTGACACATAATCATTAATCATTCTCAACTCAGATGTTGGTCCACTGCCCTCAAGTACTCAAGAAACACAAAGATTAATATTTACTACCTCATCTGAAAAACATTGGATAATTGCTTTACTGCCTCTGAAAGGGAGAATTTTAAAGTCTGTGTGCATAAATTAAACCTCTATCCTCTTTTTTTTGCCTGTTTCAGGAGGTGGAGTGGTGGAAATGCACAGAGGGAGAAGGCCAAATGAAGAGAGAATTACAAAATGACCAAGAAGTGAATCAGCAGCCTTGATTTACAACTGTCATGGGGTTCTACCCATACCGCTGGAAAAAAACCCGGGGCCCTCTGCCAGCCAAATGCACCTGAAACCAGCACCCAAAAAGATTTCAGCCTCAGAGATGCAGGATGAGTGACTTGACGACAGAGTCCTCTCCCTTGCTTCAAGCTCCCTGCTCTATATGATAACTCAGATCCTTTTGCTTGCAGTTGTAAGCCCGACCCAATGCATGGGAATGAGACGTCTCGCCTCAGTAGAGTTACTTTGTGACAATAGACCGCGTATGTGCTACTCTGGAAACCATCTCGAGCTCAAGGCTCATCTACACGTGTTTGCTTGCCAAACGGGAAGTGGAGTGGCTCCACTCCCATCTGTAGCCACGACAGTAAGTCCTGAACAGAAACCTACCTTCTTTCTCCCTCTCCTTTCTTTTTTAAAATTGGGATTCATCCTCATTTGTGATTGACTTTTGTCATTTCTGTCACAACAGCAGGGGATAATTGTGCTGATCCTGGTATCCCACCTGGCGCCTCAAGAACAGGGAATACATTTGGAATTGATGACACAGTGCGGTACAGCTGCAACGGCAACCAGTTTTTGGTGGGGTCAAGAGAAAGAGTGTGTCAGGGGAACGGCCAGTGGACTGGCAGAGAACCAGCATGCTACTGTAAGACTGATACATACAAATACTGTTGACAAAGTTTTGCCACAAAATGTTCTAGCCTAATGGAAACAGTGCTCATTTTATACACCTACAAAAAAAGGATGCTGCAATATTCAGAAGCAATGACTGAGATAGAGATCAAGTTAACTTGCAGGAATTAATGTCACCACTAATATGTCAAACCTGAGATTTTAGCATCTAAAAAACCTTATTGAGTTTTTTGGACTGAGGAGGGTGCTGACTTGTTTTTGTATCATTTGATCTCAAGCCAAGACATTTTGACATCATGGTGTTTACTTTTGTTCATCCAAGTCTGTCCCTGAGTAAGCTGAGGGTACAGCCTCTAATGTTGCGAAAAAGACGCGTACTGACCCAACTGCTGACATGCTTTTTTTTCAATGATGTTGTGGTCTGGGCTATACTGTCACAGTTCACAGACGTCATGTCACACTTTTCCAACCTCGGATTGGGTGGGCTTTTGGAAACAACTATAAAATCTTAGTTGATTCAGATCGAGCATAACACCTCCCTGAGTTATCTTACTTGCAGTAGCACAAGCAGTTTCTGTTCTGATTTTGTAAAGCTAGTCTTGCCCTTTCAAAAAAGCAGCCCCCTGGTTACTGGTGGGAAGTACGGCTACGTCCACACAGGAAGCCATTATACAATTATACAATTAAAGAACATAACTGTCATTAATAACTATATCGTGATTACTGAATTTAGGAACAGTAATCTGATTACTGTAATTTGTTACTTGCATATGAGCAAAACAAATATATTTTCCACTTTTGCTTAGAGTGTGAAAGTAGTCTATGAGTAACTATTCCAGTGACAAGGACATGATCCCTCAGCTTTTCGACCTAAAGCCGGGTGAGGATACTGATAATTGAGAAACAGTCTTTCTGGTAATGGGCAAGTAATTTTAGTTCATTATCACTTCCCTTTGTCATACTTATTACAAATGTCTCTTAATGTGACTTTGCTTCTTGCAGACAAACACACCTATGACACTTCACTGGAGGTTTCACAGGAATTTGGCAGCACAATCAAAAACACCCTCACCACCTTACAGCCAGTTAGTAAGTTCCTGGAACTAATCTGATTATAACCATCATTTAATAGCAATGCTATATGATCATTTTTGCTACAACAACATGTTTTTCTTGTGAGAAAGATAACATTTTGTTAAATTCTAAACAAATGATCATAATCATTCAGTAGTTTTAAGTTAAACTCACTCTTTTGGGGCACCCGGTACCTTACCTGGTAGAGCATGCACCACTTTGCTGCATGTCGTCCCCCCTCTCTCTCCCCCTTTCCTGTAAATCTCCAACTGTCACTATCAAATAAAAGGCATTAAAAAGCACGCTCCTCTGTGTAATGACACAATACGGAAATGTGTTGGTATGAATGTTTCTACCCTGTAACAAATTCCGACCTTCTTTTCTTCTATTCTTCCAACAAATAAATATCATGGCATATAATATGTCTGGCACAATAACAGTATTGGGTTGCCGTGGTAGCTGACTTGGTAGAGCTGGCGCCCCATGTGAATCCGTGCTGCAGCAGCTATTGGTTAAAATACGACCTGTGGCCCTTTGATGCGTGTCATCCCCTCTGCCTCCCCAAATAACAGTATTTGTTTGGATTGTTCAGATGACACACAGGAAGGAAGAACAATCCGGATTCAAAGAAATGGGACACTTAACATGTATATCGCAGTGGATATTTCTCAGAGCATCGAAGAGAAAGACATCCGAGATGCAAAAGATGCTGTGAAAAAACTTATTTCAAAGGTAAGAAACAAACAGCTTTCCTATTAATTAAAAGGGAGTAATAACATTGGGGGTTTTATCCAAAATGATACAACAGTAGAGGTTTTATAGTGTTTTTCTAATGTAGAGGGCGAACACACCACAGAACTACCTCACTCATAATATGCTGAATTTGCAAGCAGTCATCAACATTGTGTTGGGACCATACAGTCAATGGCTGGGACTGGATGTAAGATTGGTTTGACTGATTTTGGAGTCAGTTTGAAGGGTGCACAGGGGATGAAAGTACAGACTGCAGTTGATGGATCCTGGCAATTAATCTGCAGAGTTGTTAAAAAATTATAAAATATAGCCTCTAGTGAGACTAATTCGGACATTTGATCAATCACTTGATTGATTGCATGTTAGAGTTTTATTGGGCATGGCAGAGGAAGCCACAGTATTACACATGTGTCAGAAATGTCATGTTGAAGGACACTCACCTGTAGACCGCTCATTTTCAAATGAAATGATAATTTGGGAAAATGTGTCTTGTGAAATTAAAGCAGGCTTAAGAAAAATAATTTATTTTGAAATGAAAAAGTTTTTGTTACAATTAATATTTTAAGAAGAAACCGGATTATAGCATAAAACTATTAAGAAAAAAGATTTCATACATATATGTAATCTTATTCTGTTAATCTTCATAATCTTCATACATATATGAAATCTTATGTCTTGATAATTTTATGGTAATCATGGTAATGTTATACATTTAGTCTACATTTAGTCAGATGATTTTTTATTTCATGATACATGTATTGAATGTTTTAGTATTTGGGTTTTTATAGATGGCTAGCATAGTTAGCAAATATATTTCTCTTTTAACATTTTGGCCACTTATTCATCTTGCTCCTAGCATTTTAATATGTATTAAGAATCTACGGAGACATTAGGTTTTTGAATGTTATACTACGGTAATAGTGATTTCATTGGGAGTAGTGGATTTCGGTATTTGAATTTATGTGAGGTATATATTTGGTGTGAGCTGAAATATGAAAACTTTGAAGTTGTTTGACACACTTTTAGAATTACATTTGGCACACAGTACACATAACATGTACAAACATATTCTCATCCCATTCGTCTGCCAGCACAACAGCCCATTAGAAGTAAATTTCATTATGAATTACACATCATAATCTTGACTGATGCTTCTTGGCGGGAGTCCCTTGGCTTGTTGTCAATGCACACTACGGGATTCTCTTTCTGCTGATAAATGAATCAATTACTCAACAAAATAACAACCATAAGCAGTTTGATACATAAGGAGGTGTTGCATTAACATAATATTTCACAGCAGTTCCACAAGTTTGTTTGTGTTTACAAAGTTGTGTCAAAAGTTAATTATTAAAGATCAACCACCTTGTATTTAACTGATTTGCTTTATGTTTCCACAGATTGCGTCTTTTTCTGTGAATCCAAATTATGAAATCATCTTTTTCTCCTCTGTCGTGATTGAAGTTGTCAACATTCTTGATTTTTTTGAAAGAAAACAAGAAGATATCCTTGAGAAATTGGACAGATTTGATAAAGGCGGTGAGTCAAACAGATCATCATTATTATTGGAAATACTGTTTTAATATACAGATTGATCTATGTTTTGTGTGTGTGTATGTTTTGACTCAAAGATGCTTCTGGAACAAATCTGAACACCGTCTTTGAGACCTTCTTGGAGCAAATGGGCCTTATAAAGCGGCGGGTTGGTGAAGATGCTTTTAAGGAACATCGTCATGCCGTTATCGTTTTTACAGACGGTAATTTCAGCCTCTTTAATGGGCTGACTCTTGCAATGAGGCTTCCAATTTCTTTTACTGTAGGCTAACTATGGATTGAAATATTCTTGCTGCAAATATTTAAAGAAATTGTTTTTGGAAAATATATGAGTATTTGCTTTCTTGCCAAGGGTTATATGAGATAATCAAAGCTGCTGTTTGGCAAATATATACAGCCAGCAGCTACTTAGCTAAGCATAAAGACTACAAACAGAGGGAAACAGCTAGCCTGGCTTTGGCTAAAGCACCTTTAAAGCTCAATTAACACTTAATTTTAGTTTTATTTTATTTTATTTAACCTGTGCAAAAACTGATTTCATAATGACATTTTCTTTTATGGGGAGTTTTTTACTATATCTTTCTCAGGCGATTAAAAAAACAAGAGGATTATCAATCTTCTTATCTAACTCTTGGTAACAAAGTGAATAAAAACACATCACAAAATGTCAGACTGCTCCTTTAATATGTGAAATATGCATCAACTGACAATTTAACTGTCGTCTTAGAACTGCTTTTTACCTCAGTTTATAATTTATGTGCAATAAAATCAGCACTGATTATAAATTATAGTATGTACATATGCATCTTGTACAAGTTATTATTAATCTAGATAATATCATTGTATTATGTTTATGTAAAAGCTAAGCTGAATACAGTAAAACATGCTTAAGCTGTTTGTTGCTGTTGCTGTCTATGTTGTTCATTATTTTAACACACTTTCTTTCTTCATTCTAGGTGCTTATAATATGGGCGGTTCACCTTTAGGTACAGTGAAACAAATAAAGAACATGGTATACATGAACCACACAGTTGAAGGGGAGAAGCACCCAAGAGAAGATTATCTTGGTGAGTTTTATTTTTAAGTTTGTTGCAGAGATTTGTGTTGCTAAGCTGGTTTTTATCATTCAGCTTTGCTGCTCTTAGAAATCTTCCTTGCGGATTCAAACATTTTCTTTAATGCCATATCTTGTGATAATCATTTCGTTATGTTGGGATAACAAAGCTAATTTTCTCATGATAATAAGTTAATTTAACTTGTAATTTTGTGTAACTAAAAGGCTATTTCTCAAGATAATTTATTAAGAGAAAACAACTTTTGTCACTGAAGTGCACTCAACATTGAATTTCACAAGACATTTTGTCTTGATGAATTATTTCGTTATCACGAGAAAACAAGCAAAATAATTAACTTGTGATCTCTAGATAAAGGCATTAAAAAAATGTTTAATCCATGACTGTTTAGAGCTTCTGTAGTCAGTATCTTTTCATTGATATAACAATAACTCCTTGCTAGCACCATGGGCAACAGAATGTGTTGCAACACAGAGATCCTAATTAGTCTTGCTACGTTTCAATCTTTTACAGACATTTATGTTTTTGCCATTGGAGCTGAGATCTTTGATGATGACCTGCAGCCCCTCACAGCTGGGACCGGTGGCAAACATTATTTCAGATTGAAAGACATTGAAAATCTACAAGAGACCTTTGATGAGATAATTGGTAACTCGTCTTTGCATTTATGTGGTATTACCTACCTTAGCATTCATCTCCACTCTCTAATTTGACACAAAAGAAATTTACAGAGGTGGAAAAAGTACACACATTCTTTACTCAAGTAGAAGGACAGATACTTACAAAGTACAAGCTCTGAAATGCAGTATAAAAGTAAAAAATACTCTCTTGGTTTCTCTGAAGGGCATTTCTACTGTCTGTTTCTGTACTAAGCTAACTGAAACTTCAAATAGGGAGTCTCCATCTCTTGTCTGTTTTGCCGTGTCTGTCATGCGTGTCTTGTTGTTGGAAATGCAAGCGTTGGTGCAAAAAATCCCCTTGAAGGCATTAAATCTAAAGTAACGAGCCTAATTTTAAAATGTAAGAAAAAGACAATACAAATATCTGTGTAAAAATGTAGTGAATAAAAGTAAAAAAAATAAATAATAATAACTGTACAGGACAACTGCACAATGAACCAAAATAGTGAACTCAATAACTGCAGGTAGATTGTGCAAAACGAGTGATTTGGATGAATTTGGAGCAGATTATTTCCTGTGAGCATCAGAAATGAATTTTCTTTTATATAATTCTGTCTGTATTATGTTTTTTTTTTTGTTTTTTTGAAGCCATCATACACATTAACACTTGGTCTATTGTCCTATTAGCTCTTTGTAGTTTTGATTGTGTACTTTTCTAATGCAGGATAAAGATGTCTTCAAAATTTAGATCTTGAATAATAATCTAAACTTTAAAAATAACACATTTTCTTACACCACTTAAAATCAAGACCCCCTGTGAAGCTTTGTGAACCACTGGCTTAGGGCAGACACTTGGAGATCTAAGGTTTTCCTTTACAATATTCTAAGAAAATCCTTAAGGTGACTTTATGCATGTCAGTCTATGTTGCTAAATGCATGTTAGGTCATTTTATACAATGTAATGGATTAGAGACACTAAACCCTAAATTTCCCCCCAATGCATGTTTTGGAAAACATGTCACTTTGGGAGAAAATACATTAGAAAAAGTATAATGTTTTGTTTCAACATTGAGCCATTACTCTATAAACTGACCTGTATCTCTATACCAAGGATGTATTTGCATCCATGAAAATGAGCAAGACTAAATTTGTTGTGTTTTTTTAATGCAGATGAAAATGAAGTTAAAGGTCTATGTGGTCTTCATGTGGAGTATGATACAGCTGAGGCCAACGCCAGGAAAATGTATCCATGGACCCGGCATTTGTTGTTTCCAGGTGAATGTTTCAGGCATTTTATTACATTTCATTAAAAAAAATTAATTTTTCATCGGTAGAAGCATATTTGGATTACGTGAGAACACAGTAGAGTCCAGACCTGCAGAATGTAAGATTTAATGGGAAAACTGGTTTCCCTAATTATCTACCCACAATCCATGTTGTCTCTTGTTGTCATGTTGTGTTATATACACTACTAAAAACTATATTCCATACTACACTTTAATTTATCCTTTAAAATTTAAGAAATGAAGATCCAAGGAAATGCCTCGGCTCTCCTGGTGAGCCCGCGAGTTTGTCTTGAACTGCTGCTCACTGCTTAAAATTTGGAGCATTTGCCGGGGCAATGTCAGAGTTGAGATTGATGATGGACAGGCAGAGGTAATGATGATGTGCTAGTGTTTATTTAATGTATTCTCATGCAGCTTCTCTTCAGGGTACCTGAAACCAGCAGTATCTAATTAAATTTGCTTTGTTTTTATTTGGCTTTGTAGTGTCAAAGTCAAAACCTAACTTATGCAAGTTATTTATATTCTGCTGTGAGTCAAGCCGTTTGCAATTTTCAAAGATAAGTTTGACCAAATTTTAAACAGTAATACCCCACTAACACTTTGATTGTGTTTTACAGCAAAAAAAGTTAATAACCCTTTCATGAGAACACCCCAAAGAATACAATGTAAAGTGCTAAAGTGCGACCAAGAAACGCTCGAAGGAGTCTTTATGAACTATGATGTGGCTCTTCATCCCAACTCGGAAAACCCTAATCCAAAAAATATCAACTACTGTTCAGGTAAGAATTCCAGTTTTAGTTCTTTGGAATTTGACTGCCACATTCTACGTCTAGTTACACACCAAACACACACACAAACCACACACACATCACTTTACATTTGTAATACTGCAATTTTAATTAAACTTGGATCATGTTGTATTGTTTTCTGGTCTTTCGTTCCTAGACCCTATATTGCATAACCTTGCACTGTGGAGACAAGAAAATGCTCTAACAATTGGTTCCTGATTCTACAACTGCAAGCAACAAGGTAAAGGTTCACTTTACAACATACAACACTGTCAAACCCAACTCAGCTGTCCCCCATAAAACCATCAATGTACAGATCTCGTTTACAATTCCTCTGTAGATAACATGGTTACACACCATCCCAGCTTTTACTAAAGCCCCCATTCCACATTGCATCAATATATGGGAAAAGTCCAAAGCTGAGAGACATACCGCGCCTTGTTACGGTTCTAAGCTATAATAATTGCTGTTAGGGGGGAGGTTGTGACAAAAACAGTCAATTGTCTCATCGTTTGGTCTTTTTATTCAAAAATCCTTGTGTGTAAATCTCTTATGGTAGTCCCAGTAATCATGTTGTCAAAAACAGTTTACTTTAATCAACCCACGCATTTGCATTTATAACAGCAAATTAACGCTTTAATATTGAATTATATATTGATTGTATAATTGAATAAGATGTTGT